GTTTCCAGTAAGATTTATTATAAAGTATATAAATTCTATAAAAATAAAAATTTTTGCACATCTTAAATTTCTTATTCTGGTGGCTTTTATGGCTTGATTTTTTTTATTCTTCAACAGTGTTTTCACAAGATTAATGGCTATAGTTTTACCATTTTGCTACTGTAGGAGATTTCAGTGTACATTACTCAAAAAGTTTGTTTCCCTTTATGTTCATTTTTGCAAGTTATTGTACAATCGGGTTTTTGCTTCCAGATTGGTTTCTCATTACAGGTCCTTTAGCGGAACAAATCCAATCACGTTCCTCCCTTGCACCCATCCCAGTGGTTTTCACAGATCTCCCTCTCCTGATATCCCTTCAGGTACTCATTGACTTGTTGAGGCCCCAACTCCATAGATACTTCCTGGGAACCTAGGGGTCACTCTGGCCAGGAAAGCATGTAACTAAGTTAACTCTATTACCTAAAATTACAATCTTACCAATCAGAGATGCCTAGATGCCAGCATAAAAAACAACAATAACAGACAGGACAGAATGTTTACTAGATCCCAGTAACCTTAGTACAGGCAGGCCATAATTATTGCAACATAGCTGAACCACAAGAGAAAAAAAAAAACATTAAAATAGTTTTATGAATATTTCAGTGAGGCTGAAAGAGGGACTGGATAAACCCTTAAAGAAATCTATGAAAACACAAATAAAAAGTGCAAGGAAATAAATAAAATGGTGCAAGAGCTTAAAGGAAAAAACAGAACAATAAAGAAAACCCAAACTTAGAGAAATCTAGAAAATGAAAATACAGGAACCTCAGAGGCAAGCTTCACCAAAAGAATTCAAGTGACGGAAGAAAAGTCCTCAGGCATTGAAGACACAATAGATAAAATATATATTTAAGTAAAAGAAAATATTAAATATAAAAAAACTCTTGGCACAAAAGAGTCAGGAAATCTAGGACATTGTCAAAAAACTAAATCTAAGAATAATAATATTGGGGAAGGAGGAGAAAAACAAGCCAGAGACACAGAAAATATTTACAACCAAATTATAGAAGAAATTTTCCCTAACCTAAAGAAGAACATGCATATCATGGTATAAAAAAACATACAGAATATCAAATGGATTGGATGAGAAAAAAACTCCTCTTAACACATAAAAATTAGAATTCTAACTGTACAAAAAAATTGAAAAATGCAAGGGAAAAAGACCAAGAAGCAGATAAAGGAAGACCCATTAGAATTACATCTGAATTATTAAAGGAGACTCTAAAGAACTAAGGGCCTAAACAAATGTGTTACAGATTCTAAGAGACCACAGATGCCATCCCAGACTACAATATCAAGCAAAATTTTCAATCACAATAAATGGAAAAATACAGTCCATGATAAAATCAAATTTAGTAATTATCTACTACAAATCCAGTCTTATAGATTATCAAAGGCACTTTAGGGAAAAAAACAAACACAAAGACACACACACACCACCACCACCACCACCACCACCACCAACACCACCACACAACAATGAAAACAAAACAACACACACAAAACTAAATAGGCATCAACAATCATTTCTCATTAATAATTCTCAATATCAGTGGTCTTAATTCCCTAATAAAAAGATACAGACAAACATAATGGATGTGAAAACAGGATTCATTCGTTTACTGCATCCAAAGAAACACACTTTAGCCCTGAAATCGGAACCAAAGAAACACTACCTGGCCCTGAATCCAGAGCTAAAGAAACACACTTTGCCCCTGGAACCAGAGCCAACTCTGTCCCTGACCAATTGAACATGAAACCAACCAATCCCTGAGTAGGAAACCCAAAAAGTTCCTGATCAGAAAGCCAACTAATCCCTGAGCACAAAATCTAGTCAATCTAAGCATGTCCAAGCTCAAGAGGACCAAAATCTGACCAATTCCTTTCGTGAAAATCTTCTCCCTGGAAAAACTCTCCCCTAAGAAGCCCTATGAGATGGCACACACCTTTAATCCCAGCACTTCGGAGGCAGAGGCAGGCGGATCTCTGTGAGTTCGAGGCCAGTTCTGGTCTACAAGAGCTAGTTCTAGGACAGACTCCAAAGCTACAGAGAAACCCTGTCTCGAAAAACCTAAATAAACAAGCCACTCGTCTGCCTGTTCAGTTGGCAGCTGTCCTCCTCCACCATGGCAGAGGTAGCCACTCTCCTGGACTTCTTCCTAAATAAATACCTTTCTTGTGAGAGTTTTGGGTGAAGATTTTCTCTCGCTGGTGCAGAGCAGAATCTCTGCTGGGAAGCTCCCTTAGGAGAGCAGGGCAGACGTAGCAACTGATACCTCTGCTGAGAAACTCCTTTGGGAGTAGAGCAGAAGCCGATTGCTACATTTCTGCAGGGGTTTCTCCCTTACAAAAGTGAAGCAGAAGTAACATCTACTCAGGCCAGAGCTGAGTAGAAATGGACACCTCTGCTGGGAAACTCCCATAGGGGGTTGGAGCAGAGCACAGCTGTAACCACTTTCTCAGAGAGTAGCAGGATTGCTACGTCCTATGGGGAGACCATCCCCCAACAGATCACAGCTTCAATTATAGCCTGACTTCCTGACAAGTCAGGATACCCTTTCCTCCAGAGCTGTGAGTATCCAGGATACCTTCCTGTCACAGCTAGCTTCTGCTATAGTCCAGAATAAGAAAATCCCTTACAGGTTGTGTATAACCAGATCTTATAAAGGCATTTTCTTAATTGAGGCTTCTTCCTGCCAGACAACTTTTGAGTGTGTCAAGTTGACATAAAACTACCCAGCACAGGGATTAATATCAAAATACACAAAGGACTCAAACATAAGGACATCAATTAAAAAGGGGAGTAAAAATCTAAATAGACTATTCCCATAAGAAGAAACACAGATAGCTGAGAAGCACCAAAGGAATGTTCAGCATCCTTTATTATCACACAAAAACAAACAAAAACTTCTTTGAGATTTCATCTTACACTAGTCAGAAAGGCCAAGATCAACAAAGCAAAGGACAGCACATGCTGGCAAAGATGAGGGATAAAGGGAAACACTCATCCATTGTTGGGAGTGCCTCATTGCTAGAAGGCAAATATCAGTAATAGTGACTGGAATAAGTGCCTTTCTCTGGAGAGACTGGGAGAGCCTGTTTGGGGACATAGGGTGACAAACTTTTAGCCACTGATAGGTCAAATTCTTAGAAAACCTCTAAAATTTGCCCTATATCATTTTGAAGTATAGATTCCCCTCAAATCAAAATAGGCTTTTGTTCCTTAATTCTGCTTATTGTTTGATGAATAAGATTTGTAAGCTTGTATGCAACCAAGAACATTACATTTGCAGATGTACTATGTATTAGTTAGTGGTACCACACTGGTCTATTGCTGGAATGCTGGTCAATAATCCATACAACAACAAAAACTGATGTTGCATAATTGGCTGCTTAAATTCGAAGAAAAAAAGTCTCCATCTGTGAAAGAGAAAAAGACTCTATGATTTCGGCATTGCCCAGAAAATCTTATTCTAATATCACCTCCTCTACTATGCTTTTCCCTTCAATGTATAACTTTTATTGGGGGGTTGATTTTAATTTGGAAGTTTTGTGGGGTTTTTAATTAAATATATCCTTAGGTATTTTTATACACG